ATTATTCCACTGGAAAACTCATGTGAAAACGAACCAGGTATCCCAGCCAATAGCAACAATCCCCGAAAAACTGCCAGATGGGTGACGCCAGACAAGACCAACAGAAGAACCTTCCAACTGAACACAACTCAAATTAGAGAACCATGAATATATATATAATGTTTTTAGCCACTAAATTTTTTTTGGGGGGGCGGGGGGGAGTGGGCAGTGGCTTGTTACACAGCAATAGACAACAGACACATCAATATAATAATATTTTTATTTTTCTCAGAGCTAAATAGAGACACATTTTTGTTAGGTTTAGGGGAAGAATGACATGATTTAACAGTTTAACATGTGAGAGTAAATGGTGGAGGGTCAGGTACAAAAGCATGGAAACCAGTGAGGCTCTTATTGCAGTTAATCTAGGATAGAGGTGCTGGTGGCCTGGACCAGGGTAGAGGAGGTGACACATGGTCATAATATTCACATTTTGAAGGTAAACAAGATTATTAAAAGATAGAGGCCCGTTGCAAGAAGATTCCTGCAAGAATAGGGCTTCCTGCAGTCGGAGCAAAGCAGAGAAGAGAGCAAAGCGTCGGCGGGCTTCACTCCCATCTCTGCTGCCTCGGCTCTGCTCCCGTCTCCTCTGCCTTGGCTCCCTCCCTTCTCCACCACTTTGCTCCCTTCTGCAGCACTTGGCTTCCTTCTACGCTGTCTTCAGTCTTCGCTCCATGCCTGCATATGCATTAACCATCATCTTTGTTGGGTTAATTTGCATACTCACTCTGATTGGCTGGTGGTCGTAGTGGAGAGACAGTCAATTTGCATGTTCCTCTTTTATTAGTGTAGATTAGATACTGAAAATATTAAATGTTGGGAGTTAGGAGTCAAGATTAATACAGGATTTTAGGCTTCTATGACTGAAAGATGTAGTGATATTTTACAGAGAACATTATAGCACATGTTATGAAAAAAGGTAGAAAAATTATGTGTGTGAATGCATGTCTATGTGTTTACATTCATATAGATATATAGTGTAAGGATAAACAAGAAATATAAAAATGACCTTGTAAAGGGAATGAAGGCGAATGGGTAAATGGCCACAGGAAAGAGACCAAAATATCTTAGAGTATTTATTTGTGATCTTTGAATGTTTTAAATGTAAAATTATTATAAAAATAAAAGTGAAAATGAGAAGATGAGACGGGAAGGCCAGCAATCTTTTTTAAAAAAATATTTATTATGTGCCAGGCATTATGCTGAAGCACTTTTCCTCTTTGGCTCCCTCCCTTTTGAGTGGCGATGATATATCTATTTTTGCAAGGCTGGCATATCTGGTTCACAGATATCAGAAGTAATAGATCTCAGCAAATGTCCAGCATGTAGCAAATACTTAGTAATTTGTTGCAGCCATTACTATTGTTCAAGGTCATGGAACTAGTAAACATTGGTATATAATTCAAACTAGACTTTTCTGGCAGTAAAGTCTCTGGTACTACCCTCTCTGCCATACTGTCTTTTATAAAAAGCAACATAACAGCTGTCTCTAATTTTACTATGCCAGGTGTGTGGGAGTGATGGAATGCAGATATATGAAAAGTCACTCTCAAGAGGACCAGGAAAAAACTCGAAACAAATGTTTGGAGCAAACATGGAAGTGGTCCAACCCTCAAAAAATACCAGGGGATTGACAATACATGGAAGGCAGTGAGAACTCAGCCAGAACTCAGCCCAGTGTTCATGTATCAGGTACACACAAATACTGAAGTTCAAGTTAAGGCAGAGTCTGCTACCAAGCAAGCCAGCAGAAGCTGTAGTAGATAAAATTAAACCCCTTTTCTGTCTTCATCACAAGCCAAATGTTTGCCTTCTGCTGGAGCTGGAATCAGTCCCAGGTTGTAGAGTCCAGGGTCCATTCATGTGCAACTTGATGAAGAAGAGCTTCTGATTTTGCTGGAGTACAGCTTAGACACAGAATGGGCAGAGTCCCCAAGAGCTTTTTAAAAATTGCACTTCACTGGGGGTCTTTGAGAAAGCCTTTTTTTTTTTTTACAGAGATTTTGAACATATTGAAGAATAAGGCCAATGACCAATGGAAAATTCAAGCATAACCTTGATAACGACTAAGTTGGAGGACACAACTAACATAGAAATGGGCTTTCCAATATCAAATCTCAGAATTGAACAGACTTCCGCATCCAGGCCAACTCCCTGACTTTCATCTCAAAAACAGAGCCGGGCCCCATAAAAGGTAGAGCTCCTGATCCCTGCATGCTGCTCCCAAAAGGAAAAGAGCTAAGGCTAAACCAAGCATGCCGCTCATTCTCTGGGTTCTCTAGACCACAGCATTTATATTTGTTGCCTCCTCTGCTTGGTAATTCTTTGTCCCTCTTCCCAGGAGCTTAACCAACAAATACTTGTTTTTTTTTAAATATCCTCCAGAAATCCTTTTATCACAGCACCTCTTCCTGCTTTCACAGCACCCTACACTTACCTGCACTTAACCTTTCTCATAATACTTATCCTACTTTATGGTAATTGCCCGGTTACTTGTCCATGTCTCTCATAAGACTGTCAGCTTCCAGATGACAAATACAGTGTCTTATTTATCACAGCATGGTTTCTGGCACATGATAAATGCTCATTATATATATTTGTTGAATAAGCATCTGACTTCAACTACTTTTGGGCCAGTTTACTGCTATGTCCCACATCCAAGTTGGTCTCATTTATCTCCTTGCTAGCTGCCTGCTTGGATGTGGGGGTGGGAGGAAGTCCAGAGCTTTGTTTTCCTGGCATGAAGATGGGTGTAGTTTTAGTTGTTTTTTTCTGAAAGTGGCATCTAGTCCTTCTGAGTTATCCTAAAACTCTTGTCAGTGTTTCAGAGAACTTTTCTTTATCAGAAATATGACCTCACCATTGAACATTGATAGTCTGCTGTGAAATATACTAGATGTCTTTTTTTTTTTGAGTGAAGATAATAGAAATTCCTTCTTTTAAAACAGCCACAAAATAAATCTTTTAGGGGAGAAAGCTCCTCCCCCTCTTCTGAAGATTGCCTCTTGTGGAGTATTTTGCTACTTTTTGTGCCTTTACTCATGCCACTCCTCAAGGTCTGGGGTGATTGGAATATGGTGTATATGTAAGTGTGTGCCTATCCTATATAATAAAAGCCTAATATGCATGTTGTCCCTTTGACTAGGAGTTCGACCGGGAGTTTGACCAGGGGGTAGGGCTGCCTGCGGCAGCAGTATGCGGCTGGGGAAGGGATGCTCCCTGCTAGGGAGTCTACGTGTGCATGAATTTTGTGCACTGGTCCTCTAGTCTATAATAATAAAAGCATAATATGCTAATTAGACCCGATGTCTCTCCGGACGAAACCAGGATTGCGAGGGAAGCCTGGGTCCTGGGTGCCAGAAGGAAGCCGGTGCTGGTAGTTGGGGGAAGGAAGGCCTACTCTTGCACGAATTTCGTGCATCGGGCCTCTAGAGTGTATATATATATATATGTACTAGGAGCCCAGCACGCTATTTGAAATCACGCGGTGACGCCCACCCTTCGGTCCCGCCCTGCCTCCCTCCCCGGGCCCTGCAGCAGCCGTGGCCACTGCCAGTCTGGCCCTGCCTCCCTCTCCAGCCCTTGAAGCAGATGTGGCCACTGCTGATCATGCCCTCCCCCAGCGCAGGCATGTGGAGGCCCCTGCTGCCCCACCCTCGACGCTGCATGTGCAGCCTCCTGTCCAGTCGACCCATTACGGCGTCCTGGTTAATTAGCATATTTCTCTATTTTATATATATAGATATATATATATATTCACAGGGGTGGGCAAAAGTAGGTTTACAGTCCATATGGAAACAGACATGCAGGTTATGGTTATTACAATAGCTTTAGTAACTCAAAAGAATATCACAATGGCACAGTGCACTTAGTTAGGTACAAGCTCATAAGTGCTCAAATTACTGGCCTTCATTATTTACACATTCTTGTCATCTACTTGCTGAATAAACTGTTTCATGTACTTACAACTGTAGACCAACTTTGCCCACCACTGTATGTGTGTGTATATATTTTATTAGATATAAATAAAATTTTTAATAAATAAAATATATACAAGCAGGGACCAAGTCATGAAGATTATTATAAGCTATGTATGAAAATAATTCTTAGAGGAAAGGGAAAGGGGGTAATAAAATGTGTTAAGCAGGTAGATGACAACATCATCACACCTGTGCTTTTAAAGTGTCAGTGGCTACAACATGGAGCATCTATAAGGATCATCTTTGAAGTCAAGAGCTCTGGTAATCCAGGTGGGAAATGATGATCGCACAAAATAATTATTTAGAAGTAAATTCAAGCAAGATTGGAGGTTGTTGGAAAGAAATAGGAAGACTGTAACGGTATACCCATTTATAAAAATAAGTCTATAGCTATAACGTATAGAAGGTAACTGCAATGATTAGGTGTGCAGTTTATTTTCAACTAGTCGGAGTTGTTTCTTGGGAAAGTGGAAGGGGTTATGTAGCTCTGGTGTTAATAATGTGTACCTCCAAATGGTGTGTTGATGGTACTCCAAGAATTTACACACCACTTGGTTCATACTGGCAAAGTATACCTGCTCTTGATTCATGAAACAAATAACATCACAAGCTACTGTCATTTTTGTGTGAAGACAAAACACATTTGTTTTATGAATGCCATGTCTAAACTAAGCCAAGTTTAGTTTGCAACATGGTACTTCAGAAAGCAATGATTCTTTTCATGTTCCTGCCATAAAATAACTTTACTGTTCACAGAAAGATGTGAATTTACACATTTTGTTTAAATCATTCAACTAACATTAACAATTGATTGGGCTAGGTACAGGAAATTCAACAATGAAGAGGATGCAATTTCTGAATGATGGGATCACCATCAAATGGAAGCACTTAGATATCAAACACTGAATGGTTTGGTTTCAAATGTGGAGCTATTTTGTAAACTCCACCAGGAGTAAGAAAATAAAAATTTTATATAAACTTGTGCTTGCTTCAGCAGCGCATATATTAAAATTGGAATGATACAGAGATTAGTGTGGCCCCTGCACAAGGATGACATACAAATTCATGAAGCATTCCATATTTAAAAAATAAATGAATAAAATAAAAACCTCCTCCTTTCTCATTACCATGCCTGAAAAAAAATAACATTAAAGATTGCTATGTTTAGAGGAACATTTAACATAGCATATATATTCTGATACAGCTGTAGAGTACAAGTATTATATTATAAAAGATGGTTTTAAAATATTCAGAATCATGCAAAAATGTATTTTAATATATATTAAATTTCTAATATATATTTAATATGTTAAATTGAATATTAAATTTCTTTAATATGTATATATTAAATACATTTTTTACTTTGAAAGTGGCCATTGAGCCCATATCAATTACATGTATTTATTATGGACAGCCAGCAAAATGTAAAAATTACGTAGACATATAGAAGTGGACATTATGATGACATTCATTAAAATGGGAGTTTTATCTGTAATTTCAGCTTTCTGTAAATTATATTAACTGAGGTACATCTTATTTTATGTAGCAAGGCTAATAAAAATTTCAGACAAAGCCCAGAACACTTGGCCAGCATTCTACTAGTATCTGTTCGTGCCAATGACTTTGTTATTTTTCTCATAAACCTCCTTGACTCTAGGGCTTTCCAAGTCTAAAATATTCATCAGTATAATATTTATGATAATGACTGAAACAATAAAAGCCTAATTAGAGTAAAACAGATTTAATGCATTGCTTTTTGGGCACTCCCTGCTTACTAAAATATCTCAACCAATTAGACAAAGCATCTTGTTGAATGTGTTTGCTTATAATTGTAGGGCCACATTAACGAGGGCACAAAACCTACATATACTGGGATGTGGTAAGGAGAGTAGTAGAAAAGTCAGTAAATGTTACACCACAATGATTAGAGACTAAATTCTCCTTCAAATAGAACCAAAACTATTATTTAGAGGAGAATTCTCTTAGTTTACTTAGCCCGTCTTTCTATATTCTTAATACCTAAAATAAAAATACATATACAGGTTCTAGTGGAGGTTTTTAGGTAAGAGAATGTGAAGACAAGCTGAATTCCAAAGTCTACAGGTAGTAAGGGAAACCTGTATCCCTATATTGTGTCAACAAAGTTACTATCTTACCTAATATAGACAAACATGCAAATTGACTGTACCTTCGCTATTGCCTTAAGCCACGCCCCACCAGCCAATCAGAGCGACCAAATG